CGTACGATCGCAAATCATTTGTAGGTCCTTACAACAAGATTAGAAGCCGAAAAATTTTCTCCAACTTATTTGAAAAGACATATGAATCTAACTCGAATGTACTTACACAATTAATTTTTAAAAACTTATAGTTGTTTAATAATCAAGGGCTACACGACCTCTACAAGCAATATTTAGCAGTATAACTACAAAAACACAGGTTACGTGAGCACCGAGGTTGTCGCCTCAAGTTCGTGCTCGCGTGACAGCCCTACTGGTGTAGCTCTAACTGTGTTTCTGCACGACATCGATCGATATACATATAACGCTACACTTAGGACTGGAAGGTTCTACCTTGCGAATAATATTAGCTATTTTTAGATTTGTACTGTAATATGAAAAAAGAAATATAAATCTGTAGATTTGTTTTTCACTATTTTCACTAACACACATGTACACTACACAGTAGGTCAAACTTATTTCTAATTTAGACTAAAGAATCTGATCTCAGAATATTAATAAAACTAATGATGTAGCAGCACTTTTGCTTTCATCAGTCAAACACATTCGACGACGATGTTACTCGAATCTCAACACTAAGCACCTATTCAGACGATTTAAAATAGACCATGGTGTCTATCGAATTCAGAATTTAATACAAAACCTATTTGATTCTGTCTGCATTTCATGAAAATTTGATTCAAAGAATTTGTAGCAAACGTAGCACCTGGCTACGGGGCGCCGTAGCGTCGCGGCGTAGCACATCGTACTACGAGCCTAATACACGACGTAAAGGCTACTACATCGATCACAAAACTATTTCTATTTGAGTATATTTTATCTAGAATTTTCTCTAAAGAAACCTTTTACCATTTAAAGTATTATTTAACTTTACTATTCTATCCACACAGCTAAGAATAGACTCTCCACAAATAGCCATCCCTGTTAACCTGTATCGATTTTTCGAGCTCAGTATTCCAGGATACTCCTACATACTTTTCAAAGCAAATGTGTATGAATCTCTTTATATTTTTGTGAGTCTAGTACCCGAGACAACATTCATACATTAATGATTTTTATGACAATGTAGTAAGGTTCATTTTTGATGATGTGTTTGTATGTGTTAGTCGGTTTGTTCATTTGTCCGTTATGAAGAGTGCTTCTATCGAGTGGGGTTCAGTTCAACCTCTTGTGAGCTAATTGATTACGTAAACTCGGAGCTTCATTTATTTATACATCAGAGTTGTTTGAAGAGAGAAACTATTAAAGTGGACTTTTAATAAATTAAAGGTTTTGTTCTATGAATTTTATGACGTATGTAACAAAGAAATGAATTGACTGAGAAAGCCATGAGAATTTTTTTCCCGTTCTTCGGAATCTGCACTTTGGAATAAGTAAAAATCTTCTCTTAGAAGATTCACCGACTAATTGGCACTTTATATCTTTAAGCTTGGTTTAACTTCCAAAATTGCCTGGTAGGGGCTAATTAAAATAAATGATTTATTCATTTGAGATTGAAGATTTTATTGCGTTTTGAGATAAAGAGTCCTGAACTATATTCGAAACATTTAAACTGTATAGATTGATATTCCAATTTGAATATACTGTATAAACAACAGTTATATGTTTATGAAATTAGGAAAAATCGCAGTCGTCATAAACTTTTTCGTGCCATGGTCGCAACAGCCTGTAATAATGACCACTAAGCCTTTGCTTATAACACGAAGGTACTGCAGTCGAAGGCAGTCGGAGGCTACACGCGACACTTCCGGTCTCAAATAGTTCCCTTGATTACTTACACTGAAACATTATGAAAGTTAAAGTGCAAGTTAAAAAACGAAGCGATACATATCTTGTAATATTTTCCTTTCCTTTTTTAAAACGTTGCCCCACACTAGGATTTTCTCCTGTGTCGTGGGTGCGGTTACAAACACACAATTTCACATACACATGACACCCAGACCCGGAACAACAATTTTGTGGATCACACAAAGAGTTGTTTTTCCGTGCGGGAATCGAACCCGCGACACGTTGCACGGCAGCCAGTTGCCCAGCCACCGCACCAACCGTGCAGTCAAATATAACTACATAGTATAAAACAAAGTCGCTTTCTCTGTCCCTATATACCTATGTATGCTTAAATATTTAAAACTACGCAACGGACTTTGATGTGGGTTTTGTGTAGATAGAGATATTAAAGAGGAATAACCATCCATCCGAGGGTTTCTCCATCATCCATACATTGAATAATAGAGAAATTTAGAATCAGCATGGCATCCGAACAAAGTCGGGGCGGGTCGCCAGTTTATTATAAAAAATGATGGACGCAGCTGTACGCCATAATCTATTTAAATTACAATAGTAAAATAATATGTGTAATCTACAATTACATAACTAGGTGCAAAATAAATAGTATAGCTTCGAACCTAATAATATGAGCAATTTTGCGAAAACGAACTAAGAACAAAGAAATTCTAAAGACTGAAAATCCTTTTATAGGTAATAAAGTTGTCTATTGTGTTGGATAAATAAATTGGGCCAGTATAGTAGCTGAGGCCTTTACACCTGTGTAATATATGTTTATATGTGCATTGTGAAATTATATGTTTGTAACCGCACCCACGACACAGGAGAAAATCCTAATGTGGGGCAACGTTTTTTAAAAAAAAAAAAAAAAAAAATAGCCACGTGTACGTCTAAGGTTAGGGTAGCAATACAATCAATATTACTACGACGCAATAGTATAATCACAAGTTTTAAATTTTCAAACTTCAGTATCACCAGTGTCCACTGGTGATGCTGTTGGCGTGCCATTTGGTGATCCGTCTGCTCTTTTATCGCCTTATATAACATAACCCAAAATTCTAACCTGATATGTTGAAAACTTGCACCAAACCATAAACCCCTTAAAACCAGTGTACGTTTTAACTAAACCTCGCCATGACCCGCCATAGCCTTGGCCCAACAGTTTATGACTTTTCATTATAATACTGTAGCGATCAAATGTTTTCCTTTGCCTTATTGTTTTTTAATATACTGTATTATGTAGTACATAAACATATGTATAAAACACTCCAAGTACACTCAAATTGCGAGCAAACAAGACGCTATGTTTTTGTTTTGGTAATGTTATTGAGTTTACATGAAGTTAATGTGTGTTTATGAAAATCTTGATGTAGATATTACATGTGGTAACATAAAATAATATAGGTAACGGTTATTTTAGTGAAATCATTTTATAACAAAAATAAAGGGGTATTACGTGTGTTATTTACCGAACCTGGTTCAAGGGTATACCTTAATATGAGGTTATGTTTTAAGAAGATAAAGATAAAAATAAATGACATAATAAATACAGAATATTTACGATAAAATACATTTCGTTAACAAAAGGGACTTTCCATGGGTATATTGGACAAAAACACACCACAGTTCCAAACTACTCAGACCAGAGACAAATCTAATTTATTTTATCCTGACATTGACAAAAAGAAACATCCTCCCAGCCTAATAACAATGACGCGGTATCTCTAAGAACTTTTCTTTCTTAAATCGACTTCCCGACAGAGTGGTATTGCCTAATCACTCTTTTTTTCTGTCCTTCCGCGTTTTTACCTTTTCTCATTGAAATTCTCTTTTCGTGCGAACTCTTAGGAAAGGGATTTTCCGCCCTTCACGTTTCTAACGAGCCTGTATACAAAAGAGGGTAGGCAGTACAGAATTGAACGGCTTCAAATGATTACTTCCTCAAAATATTGGGGATCGGATTTTCTTAGTAAGACGGAATAGTAAACTTATATATGGTATATTGTTTTTTGAGGAAATTGGAAAGACTTGTACTAACTATTTCATTTTACCCTGTCTCATGTGGACAGATCTATACTTACATCTTTCAATCAAACTAATAATACACTTAAGGCTTATTTTTCAATACTCAAATAAATGATATCTAAGGAATAAAATTGTTGCTGTCACTGTCTTATACAAACATTTTGACGCGACAGCATCATTATATTCCCCAGATAACTTTTGTCTAACCATTGAAAAATAAGCCTTAATATGCTTAAAAAAACAACAACAAAAACCCCAACTTATTGCCAAAATGTCATAAATAAACATCACGTACTGTCGAGAAAAGTTAGAACACACAAGATAATGGCCTTCCCGAGCTTATAACGTTTCTCTCGTGATTGAACGAGATTTTTTTGTGAGGAAAATGAGAACGCGTAGTAAGCCGGTCGTAATGGCGTCGGTAGCGAGGGTGCTCACAAATTGGATTTTGGTTAAACAAGTTGTTACAATTACTGTCTTTATACCGACTGCTGGCGGGAAATGTCAATCAACTGCACTGCAGTAATGAGAATTGTGAATTTAAAAGCTATTTCGATTATCTCAGCCGTTGGTATATCTGCTAGGAAAAAAATCACTTTTTGTTTTTATTCCCAATACAACGTGATTACAATATATGCATTGCTGGCTTGTATAGTATGTATTTATATTTATTTCAATTGTGGATAAATATGTTTCGTTTAAACTTTATTTACTGCCCCATGCATAAACAACGAGCGTGGACCACGACAAAGCGAACAAATATTTTGATTGAACGGTTTATAAACGTGAACGTTACTGAATTATGTATTTGTGTGAATGTTTGTGGTGTTCAACTAATTCATTAGTAATTTGTTTGTGTTCAAAAGGACTCTGAATCATCTTTGGAACTCGAAGCCCTCGTAATAAGACCACTCGGGACAGAGGAACGACAACTAACAGAAACAAAGATCGACTCACAATCCTTTTGAAACATTACAGCATCCCCCTTTCTCATGAAATGATAATACAATGATCATTTCTGTTTGTTGTCAGGTTCCGAACTCCCAATCGAGGTCCCGCCGAAGGACGACGCGTAAATGTGTGAGCGACACGCGAATATCACACCGAGGGCAACCCTAGCCCTCCTCTGAAGATGAGCACAGGACCCCACAACAGATAGAATCATATAAACGTGATACAAATATTCCAAGATGGCGGAGGGACCACAGTCGATATGGCAGAAGATCGACAACGCAGTCATCCCCATGGTGAACCTGGAGGTGCGGGAGGTACGGGAGATACTGTGGGAGAAGATCAAGGAGCCGACCTCGCAGAGGAAGATCATCCTGGTCATCGTGTCCATAGCGCTGTTACTGGACAACATGCTGTACATGGTGATCGTCCCTATCATCCCCGACTACCTGAGGTACATAGGCGCTTGGGGCGAGGCAGGGTACGACCATGTAGTCACTCTGGCGCCCTACAAGGAAGGCAATAAGACCATCACCCCGACGAAAATCATCCCAGCATCGCATGAGGGACAGGATTCAGCGACGGGCGTACTGTTCGCTTCGAAGGCTATTGTACAACTCATGATTAACCCATTCTCTGGTGCCTTAATCGACCGCATTGGGTATGATGTACCCATGATGATCGGACTTATCATTATGTTCCTCTCCACCTCGATTTTCGCCTGCGGCCGGAGCTACAGCATGCTGTTCTTTGCGAGAAGCTTACAAGGCGTCGGCTCTGCCTTCGCTGATACATCGGGACTTGCAATGATAGCGGATAGATTTACTGAAGAAAATGAGAGATCCAAAGCTCTTGGGATTGCCCTGGCCTTCATCAGCTTTGGTTGCTTAGTTGCTCCCCCATTCGGAGGTGCTTTGTACCAATTCGCAGGAAAAGAGGTTCCATTTTTGATCCTGGCTTTGATATCACTAATGGATGGATTCATGCTACTTTTGGTAATGAAACCTTTAAAAACCCAGATCAAGGAAGCTAGAGAGCCGAAACCCGTGAGTACTCCCATCTGGAAGCTCCTGATGGATCCTTATATCGCAGTCTGCGCAGGCGCTCTGATGATGTCTAACGTAGCGCTGGCGTTCCTTGAGCCGACCATATCTCTCTGGATGGAGGACAATCTGACCAAAGATAACTGGAAGATCGGAATGATTTGGCTGCCGGCATTCTTTCCCCACGTACTCGGTGTGATCATTACTGTCAAAATGGCAAAGAAGTATCCTCAGGCGCAGTGGTTGATGGCAGCCGGTGGCCTCGCCTTGGAAGGCCTGTGTTGCTTTATAATACCATTCGCCAATTCTTACAAAATGCTGATGATACCTATCTGTGGCATATGCTTCGGTATCGCCCTTATTGACACAGCGTTGCTGCCTACCCTCGGCTACCTCGTGGACGTGCGGTATTCATCTGTATACGGGAGCATCTACGCCATCGCCGATATATCGTACTCTTTTGCGTACGCTGTGGGGCCCATCATTGCTGGTGAAGTAGTGGAAGCTATCGGGTTCACTGCTTTGAACCTGTTCATTGCCTTCAGCAACCTCTTGTACGCTCCAGTGCTCATGTACCTCCGGCACATCTACGACTTCAAACCATTTGAGAATGAGGCGAACATCCTCATGGCTGACCCGCCAGATAAGGAGTATCAAACCTACAGTTTGCAAGACCAGCGACCAGTAAATGGAGAGTACAAAAACCACCTGGAATACTCCAACGTGTCAGGGCAAGTGGCTGGGACAGAGGAGTCAAACGTAGACTCGGGCGCCGGGTATAGCTATGACCAGTCGTACCAAGGTGGGTATCAGAACTACAGTCAGGGGTACGAGCAGCAGCAGCAGCAGCCGCAGCAGGGCTACCAGCAGGAGTACCAGGAGCAGTACAGTCAGCAGCGGCAGTTGCCGGCGCAGCCGCAGCCGCCTGCCAGCAACCCGTTCCGGGCGGGCACCGCGGCGGCCGCGCCTGCCTCCGCCCCGGCGCCTGCGCCACAGCCCACCATCAAAAACCCCTTCAGGCAAGGCTTCTAAATTCACTCCAAAGTCAGTGTTGTTGTCGATATTTTTGAATTTACTTGTTGTGTAATTATAAATGTCCTATTTGGGTAGACGCCAACTGTTCGATACATTTGCTTGGGCTGTTACCTTCCGACCGATTTACAAGTTCAAAAAGTACAAACATTTAACTTGCAGATAAAGTAATGAAAATGGTACACATGTTATTTTCTTAATGGGTGGCCGCGTATAGCAAGTTGAAACAATAGCTTGTGAGGTAACATCGCAGGTGGGTGTAGCGTACCCTTGGCAATAGTACTTCGATCACTGAGCCGTGTTGTATCGGCGCGTTATTTAATGTCGGATAGATGTCTATACTAGCTGTGCTTGTAATGTAGACTATTATCCGGGTCGGCTGGCAACACTACTTTTACTCATTAACTTAAGAAGAATTATTTCTTGAACAGAAATGGGAGGTTTTTGATACGGAAGCGTTATATTGAGGGAAAAATAAAGATTTACAAGAGAAAGTTAATAAGATTAGACACGCGTGTAAAAAGGTATGTTTATCAAAGAAGCGCAGGGTGTCTCTTAATTAGCGAGGATCGTGGAGGATGGTAAACTAGAAGCAGTGTTGCCAGCACCCGTTGTTTTCTTGTTGATTAATATTCTGATATAAACAACTGTTATGCCTTTTAATAGTATATAGAATTATATCTGATGTGAGAATTATATAAACTATAACATTTACATGTGTATAAGATGATATTCAAATGTCGAGGCACAGCAATTGCGGAGGACTACACAAGTACGATGGATATACAACCTTATTATAAAAATAATAAGGATAAAAAATGAACATAAAAGAATTGAGTACTCAGAAAAGCTCCTCCGTTTTTGACGTGCTTCTATAATTTATAAATGTACCTACTAATCTCTGGGAAAGAACCATGATATTTAATGGAACATACAAATTCTAACTATTAAAGTTTTCCCACTGTTACATCGCTAAGTAGTCGATAGCTAAAGTTTAAGGTAGATATTTTAAAAGTTCAGCACAAGTATGATACACGCACCCACTACGTAAGGGCCTAAATATTTATTTGTAAGTCTTAGTACTTACTGGCGACACTACAGCGTGTTCCTACCACCGAAATATCAATGATATTCAAACAACACGCTGTATAGCACGCCCACCTATCGTAACTGTCGTGGAAACATTACGATACATGTACATATCGTTATCGTTAACACCTTAAATCTCAAAATGCGATGTATCTTAAATATATATTTTTAGAAATTATAAATGTATGTCGTATGCTAACCCAGCAATACTAAGCTAAGTATCGTCGTATCTCGCTTCGATATCAATTAATTCGATAAATATCAATTATAATATCAATTAGGTATAATTATAGAGTTAGTCAACGTGATAAGTTGCAACCAAGGTAACGAAACATATCAGAATCTTTTGATTCACGTAGATTAAGTAAGCTTATATAGACTTATACATTAATTATAATATTATATATAATTTACGATATATTTTGTGTAAGTGTACAGTAGTTAGCATGTGTTTCTGTCGTTGACTTTACTGAGGTAGGTTCGTACCACCAGCATACAGCATGGCGCTGTCGACAGGCCGGGGGGAGCGAGCAGGGAACTCGGTTCACGGGAAGACGATGATTCTATATTGAAGGATGAAATGTAAAATTACTTGACAAAGAATCAACGATTTGATGCGTAAAAAACGCTAATGGTTTACAAAAAAGCTAGAAAAATTAATTGGCAGCAATAACGACATCTAACAATACATCGTGTAGTCGAAGCGTATGCTCAATAAATGAGTTGGAATGTTATAAAGGTTTGAGTAATGTTCCCGGGCTCCTCCCGACCGACCGACACGAATAACAATTCGCAGACGACTGAGCAACAAGAGTCAAAATTAAAAGATAACTAAAATAATTGTACAAGAAAACGTGACGCGCCCGATATGTCAATTGAGAGTGTATAAAGTTTAAAAAAAAAAGTGATTATTGTGAATAAAAAACTATTCGTTAAAATTATTACTGTCGTTAACGTTGCTAAGGATAATCAGTTGCCGTTCCCATTAATACCAGTCCGGTATAGTTTTTCAATTAAAATGTGGTACTTTAAATGATGATTTGTGGTTTAGTACCCAGCCTGCAAAGTACAATAGAGACCGTAGCAGTTTTCAGGAGCACACAACTTGATTGTTTCGCACAAACCTTTTCATACTTTCAGTCTATTAGATAGAAAGAGAGAGGAACTATTTTTCAGATCGGATCGTCGCTTGGGAGGTACACGTTGGAGTCTTTTGTAGCTAAATAACTCCAACGTGTGCTAGGGCTGGTTAATGAGTTGAGAGTGAATGTGTATTTATGTTAATATCAAGCTTGTTACGGAGGTGATCAAAGAACCTCTCTCGTACACGTATTCGTAAGTTTAGAGTCAATTTTCGTGTCAAATTCTCCCGAAATTCAATTAATTAGTAGATTGTGAGCACAAAGACGTAATATTTATTGTACGACGTATATTTAAGTACTTAACTTGCTATGTGGGTTCTGATCGGGTTACAAACATACAACAGATCAAAAAGAAAATAACGGACCTCGTTCAAAACTACAATTATTATAAAGGCTGCTTTTAAAGAGTTAGTCAAAAACAGTTTCACAATTAAATCATGAAAACAGACGCTAAACAATATTGTAATAAAACATGTTTCAAATCATGACTGAGAGAAATACTCAAGTGTAATTAAATATCAACTTTTAGCTTCATATGGCCATGGTGTGTACGGTCAGAGCCCACAAGCGAATTATTGATAGCATTGTATTATGTTGTGTATTGTGGGAATTATACATATAATTGTGTACTATTTGTGTACTATTATATCAGCAATAAACGCCAGTATCGCAGACATATCACTAGTCTTAGGATATACAATCTTAAAATTTTATACTTATTCGTATATTTTTTGATAATTAGATTGTCGTATTTAATTATATTTAGTAGTATACATCTATTATTGTATTGTATTTCGTGGTTTACACTTGCACGTACATATTTTAGGATTTGTATAATTGTTTTTTTTTCTGATAGTATTTATATATTATACATAACTAAAATATGTAGTTTTAAATTATATAAAGTATCTATTTTCTCAAAATGATTTTAAATTTTGTATATTAAGTTATCTATGTAGTTTCTATGTATATTTATTTAAATTATGTTTAAAATCGTTTCCCAGTTAAACTTTTTTAAATATATTAAAGCATAAATTGTGCATTAATTAATACTCTCCTATATCATATCTCAATATGATTTAGCTTTGTATCTTCAAACGCTTTCAAATGTAGTCTTTAAAAATATTATTAAATCTAGATCCTATAGTGTTAAGTAAAGTAGTTCACTTAAGTTCCAAGTTGTATGTTGTGCCATCTTTTATCTCTTTGATGTTAATTTATTGAAGAATATCGTTTTATTAATATTATGGAACATGACTACACGGTTGGTTCAGTGGCTGGGCAACTGGCTGCTGTGCAACGTGTTGCGCGTTTCATTCCTACACGGAACAACGCTTTGTGTGATTAATAAATTGTTGTTCCGGGTCTGAGTGGCTCGTGTTACCAAAACACAGTAAAAATCCTACTTTGGAACAAGTTTTCTAAAAAGTATAAACTGAAATAATTTGGTTTTTAATAAACTTTATATAAATTAATTCTAGAAACTTAATTTTTTTATTAAGATTATTTATTTTTTGTGTACTACAATTACCGATAAAAAAATAGTTCTTTTATAAAATAGTTCGATATTCCTCATTAAATTAACTAAAATTAACGTTGCTAACACGCACAATGTTAGTATATCAATGTCCTGGCTTCGGCTTGTATATTATTATTATCTGTTTGTTAGTTCGTTCGTTTGTAACAGTAGACGTAGACGTTGTGAATCTTATTCTTATCTCGATGTTTCACAAGAAATGTAACTGCAAACATTACACACTATAAAGTTATAAGTTAATTATATTTATTATAAATAAAGCTACTGCATTAAATTTAATATTTGCTAAATTTTGGACAGTATGTAAAAGTCTGAAAATTATGCCATGTATAATTTAATAAAAACATATATTTTAACAATCATATCAATTACTATATACACAATATCGTAATCATATCAGGATTTCTATAAATTAGAAATATCATATCACAAATCACCAGCTAGTAATTGGTCCTCAAACCAACAAAGGCCTCTCACAGGCAGAAGGTTTGAGCAACAATCACCACACTTGCTCAAGGCGGATTGATGGTATCAAAATTTTTGAATAGAAATTATAAGTCTAATGCCCGGATTCCGAAAGCCCGATCAATGTTAAAATCAACTAATTAGGTGTCAAATCTCTTGTCAAGTCATCTGATTGGTTGTTGATAATTCAGTCAACCAATCAGATGACTTGACAAGAGATTAAATTGATTTTAACATTGATCGGCCTTTCGGAAACCGGATGTAAGTTTTCCCAAGATGATTTTCTTTACCGTATATCAGTGGTGTCTTCATAATATTTGTAAATTAAATTACATATAAATTAAATCAGTATTGTTTGCAGTTACTTTCAGTTTAGGTCAGTACCCGTCCGTTAGTTCTATTCTACCTATAACGTACTATTAGGAGCTCGTTTCATCGTCTAAATATATCTTAATCATTATCCTAATTACTTAATTGGATTTTAATGGAGTTTATAAGTTATAAACTCCATTAAAATCCAAACACATAAAATTTTGTTAATCTTACCTTTCAAATACACTCCTTCTTTTTTCCATAATTTAAAATATTCCTGGTAGATATTTTTTGCATTAAAGTTTTTGAGTATTGTAGAGTAGTTGATGTTTTTAGAATTATTTAACATTACAATGCTAGTTAGCGTTTAAATTTGTACATATATCAGTCGAACACCCACACAAGTACGAGTGATAAGTTAAAGTAATATATAGAATAGTAAATATTATAATATG